TGCCCCCTTCTCTAGGGCCCTGCAGAGAAAGGAAAGGACTTACTGGTATTCTTCCCTGTGAGGGATGTGATGCTCAGTCGTCGAGCTGTGGTAGGAGACTTCTGCTGGGGTGGGGTACGGCACTGCTTTCCCAGCTCTTCGTCAGATGTGGAGGACACCAGCTCTCCAATGAGTATTCGCTCCAAACTGCCGTCGTCAACGCCCTTTCCCAGCCATCGCCCACAGGGAAACCTGCCACGCAGCCAGAACAAGCACAGGTCAGCCGCGCAGGCAGTCTAGCTTGATCTCAAAGTTACAGGGACAGCTAGCACCCATCAACACGGCTAACGGGCAGGGAGCATTCTGTAGTCAGAAACTTTTCACAAACCAGAACTCAGCGGGCAGCAGCCCCTGCACCACGGCTGATAGGACCCAACCAGAAAACTACGTTCACCTCCGCCCTTAGGAAAAGGGAAATAGGCAAAGCTTGCGTGAAAGCACGGGGCAGCAGAAAGTGTTGTACACGTATTTCACGGGCCACATCTCTGTTTCTGCTGGGTTACTTTTCACTTGCAACCACAACTGATATTCAGCCTTTACTAATATTGTGATGATTAACAACAAAATCCCCACACAGAGTTCCCACCCAACTGAAGCTGTGATGTCTCCTCATACTCAAACCTCACCTCACATTTTATTGCTGTACTTTTTGACCCCATCCACCATCCTCATGAAATCCATGCACATGTCCATACCCCCAGTGCTTATATGCCACTCCCTCCTACTTTCCCCCATACGCTGTGGCCAGCACTGAGCTCTGGAGCTCACCTCCCTGAAACACAGTTTTCCAAGTCCACATTTAGAAAAAAAATTTAGTCTGCTTAGTCAGGTGTTTTGTAAAACCAATGATGAGCTACGAGATCATTTTGACACAAGAGGTATGTACTCAATATAAGATTAAGAAATTATCAGAACCTTTTACTTTCTCGTAATCCAAATTTCTGTACATTTCTTACAATACTTGCACATCTGAATATTTTTTAGAAGAAAAAGAAACCAAAGGTTGGCCCTAACCTATCATTCCAGCTCTTGGGGGTTTAAAGAGCTCACTTGGGCACAATTTTACCACATTGCTTTAAATCAAGAGATTTCATTATTAGACATAAACCTGTGAATCACTTCCAAAGTATCCATACTGTCTGCCCTGTCTCAGAGATGCAAAGAAAACCCTACATTCAAGACTCATTTAATATTTATCAGATTATTTGATTTCAACTAGGGCTTCTGAAACGAGAGAACTGGGGGTGGGGGAGACCAACCCAACCCTGCCAGGTACCCCAACCAGCCCACAGTGCTCCATCAGCTAAGGAGAAGATGAATGCCTTCTTGTTTTCTCTAGATTTAACAAGTAAGAATTTCAGACAAAGAAAATGAAAACTTGTTGCTTACTTGTACGTGTGTCCTGTTATTTCATTTCTGACCATGACACAATCAACCAGCCACTTGGCTAGTAGCCCTGAGTTGTCATGACCAATCTGAACGGTCGTCAGCTTCCCTAAATTCTGGCACTGAAATGAATAACAGTTTTTACTTAATTTAAAAAAACAACAGACAACACCCCCCCCACACGACATGCACACATATGGTCTCAAATGTATGTTTCTATGCAGATTCTTTTGATTTAAACAGCAAGTATTGTCAACCAAATATGCGTTTTGAAAAGTAGAGTAATTATTTTAAGACAGGAGAAAACAAGAACCTTGAAATAAAACTATTAAAAGCTTGCGAAGAGATGACATTCTTTGTTGTGAGCACTCACTCTGATTATTTCTGAGAAGCATTAATTAAAAATTTCTGAGCTAAGGCGAAAAAAGGTGTGCTTTTGTAGAAGAAACAGATTTCCAGTACAAACAGCTTTTCAAAACTGCATTTTGAGCATACTGACCTTCAGCTGACTCACTCTACGCTACAAAGCGGTCCTCAGGTCTTTTATTTAATTTTCAGAGATTGATTTCCTTATTGTTGGGCAAGACGAAAATCACTAACATGAGACTCGTAACATCACAAAGAGTCAGAACAAGGAAAACGGGACTGTGAATTCCAGTGCGATATGTAATTGTAGGTGGGGCTGGCAGCAACATCTAGTAACGTCACCTAAGCCCTTCCCTTGCAAGATCTTGGTTTTCATTGCTTCAGACACTGCCAAACAAGCAGCTTGGGCTGACATTTTCCATAGTGGGTGGCAACCCAAGTTGATATTTTAGGAAAGCTTCAGCCAAAGGAATAATCCAGAACAGTGTTAGAATCATTTTTAGAAATGTCTAAATAGGTTATTTTTGCTTGTTAGAAACCTGGAGATCTTTTCTACAGTATACGAATATCTGAACAAGAGGCAGCCATTGTCTCATGAAAATATCCTCTCTATCTCTGTCAAAATCTACCTACATTTGGCAAAAGCATTTCGTTGGGCTTTTTTGTTTGTTTTGGGGGGTTGGTTTTTTTTTTTACTATTGTTGAAGATCAGTCTGCATATGCTCAATGGACGCAACCTCAATTTTAGTAGCAGATTCTCCTACAAAATCACTCCTTACTGGATATGGTACAGCCTGGAGCTACAGGAGCCTGATGGGGCTTTCCCTGCAATTCCTGCTACCAGCTGCTTTGGGGTGGCACTGAGCCAACCTGTGATTGATGGGTGGGAAAGCAGAGGGGAACGCCAGGCAGTCAAACAAGAGAAAACCACTGTGAGCACGGAGAAGAGAGTCCAATAGGGATGGTGGCTCTACGATTTCCCAGGAGTAGCACCCGAAGCTGGGAAGCTGAAGGGCTCAGGGGTCAGACTGGCTGGTTGGAAGGAAAGCAGCAATGCCGGACAAGGAGCTGGAGAAGAAATTTCGGACAGGCCAGAGGCAGAAACAGATCTGGGTGGTGGTTAAGTGGGAAGACGGATTGAAAGAAGCAAAAAGAAACTTGGAAGTGAAATAAGGAGTTGGAAATGAGCCCTGAAAGGAAAAATTAGGCAAGGAGACGTGCAAGGGAATGCGATGTGGAAGTAGAGTGGCTAGGTATGAAGAGGAGCCCTGGGCTGGGACAGGGGCAGCAGTGAAGCCTGTGGTTAACACGCTCACAGGAAACTTTCATCTAGCACAGGAGGGGCAGGCAGCTCCGTTCTCCTGCACAGATCCGAGTGTACAGCGACCTCGAAAACCTGGACAGAATTCGAAATGCTACGATCTGAAGACAATAAACCCTCACCAAATTAATGTTTATCTGGAAGCATCTTTCAAACTGAAATGTAAAATGTAAAGAGCATGTACTCACCTCAAATGTCATTTCCAGGTGGTTTTTAGGAATCTGCATTACGCCTGTATCTCCCAGTTCTCCCGATACACATATCCACGGGTTTGACGTGGTTATTGCATTGCTTAGTTTTTTGATAGGAATTATCACTGACCTATAAGGGATCACTAAGAACAGGGGGAGGGAAAAATAAGTTAGTCTTGAATTTATTCTTTTTTTACCTTACAGTAAACGTGTAATTTCTGGGCTAAACCACACCTCTCCCTTGAAAGCAAGTTCTTGTCCCGCGCCTCAGCAACCCACCAAGGAGAACTCCTCCTCTGCTCTCCCTATAAAGGCCGAGACGAACGTGCCGAGTGCCTCGCCGCGGCGGCAGGTACCCTCCTCCCACCGCGGGCCGCAG